CAATTATCTATTGTTATTTTTTCTTGTTGGGATTCGCACCTACTGAGGAAAGGAGTCCTCTTAAATACTATAAAAATTGTATTCTCCTTTTGATACTTCTGATAGTTTAAATGGGGATATTTCTCAACCGTCACAATTGTTTTATGTCTTCTGCTCACAACATGTTCCTTCCTCTATTTCCTTTCACTAATTAATGCTTTCTAATATGTCTCTACTAGCGTTATGCTTTCCTTTTAACAGATTATTATATTTTTTCTACTACGATTTTTAACCAGTACAATACTAATAGGTTACCATCTCTCCTTCCCTGTATATGGATCCGGCCCAGGAAAAGGTGTTCCTGGGTGCTCAAAGATCAATGGATGGAGGTCATTCTCATGGATCTAAGTCCATAAAAACACATTTTAAAAAATCTGTTGCAGGATGTGGCCTTTGCTGGCTGGGCTAGCATTTATTGTTCATCCCTAACGACCCAGAGGGCAGTTACAAGTCACTCACATTGCTGTGGACCTAGAGTCATATTTATACCAGACCAGGTAAGGATGGCAGATTTCCTTCGTTAAAGGACATATGTTTGAAGAAGTGATAAATAAGATTGATGAAAGCAGAGTGGTCGATGTTGTCTATATGGACTTCAGCAAGGCATTCAACAAGGTTCCACATGGTCAACTGATTAGCAAGATTAGATCACTTGGAATCCAGGGGGAGCTAGCCAATTGATACAAATTTGGCTTGATGGTAGGAGACAGAGGGTGGTGGTGGATGGTTGTTTCTCAGACTAGAAACCTGTGGCCAGTGGTGTGTGTGGCCAGGATCGGTGCTGAGTCACTGCTTTTTATCATTTATATAAATGATTTTGATGTGATTATAGAAAGCATGGTTAGTAAGTTTGCAGATGATATCAAAATAGTGTAGTGGACAGTGAAGAACGTTATCTCAGAGTACAACAGGACGTTGATCAAATGGGCCAATGGGTCAAAAAGTGACAGATGGAGTTTAATTTAGATAAATGTGAGGTATTGCATTTTGGTAAGACAAATCAGTGCAGCAACTTATACCATTACATTATACCATTAGACCTGAGGAGAGTTGCTGAATAAAGGGACCTAGGGTTGCAGGTGCAGAGTTCCTTGAAAGTGGAGTTGCAGGTTGACAGGGTGGTGAAGAAGGCATTCGGCACACTTGCCTTCATTGGTCAGTGCATTGAGCATGGGAATTGGGATATCATGTTGTAGCTGTAAGGGGCATTGTTTGGGCCAATTTTAGAATACTGTGTTCAGTTCTGGCCTCCATGCTATAGGAAAGATGTTGTTATACTTGAAAGGGTTTGGAAAAGATTTACAAGGATGTTGCTGGGATTACAGATTTGAGTAATAGGGACAGGCTGAATAGGTAAGAGTATTTTTCCCTGGGGCATTGGAGGCTGAGGGGTGACCTTATAGAGGTTTATAAAATCATGAGGGGCATGGATAGGGTGAATAGCCAAGGTCTTTTTCTCAGGGTAGGGGAGTCCAAAACCAGATTACATTGAGAGGGGCAAGATTCAAAAGGGATCTGAGGGGAAACATTTTCATGCTAAGAATGGTACATGTATGGAATGAGCTGCCAGAGGAGGTGATAGAAGATGATAAAATTATAAGATTTGAAAGATATCTGGATGGGTACATGAATAGGAGGGGCTTGAAGGGCCTAATGCTAGCAAATGGGACTAGATTAATTTAGGATATCTGGTTGGCATGGATGAGTTGGACCAAAGGATCTGTTTCCATGTTGCACATCTCTATGACTCTATGACTGTACAAGAGATTGAGCAATTTAGGCCTATACCCAAGAGTTTAGATGAATGAGAGGATCTCAAATTGAGCTTTATATGTTGCTAAAGGCGATTGACAAAGTAGATGTAGGAGGATGTTTCCTCGTGTAGGGAAATCTAGAATGAGACGTGATAATTTTAGGTTAATGAGTAGCAGGTTTAAAATAGATGAGGAGAAATTACTTCTCTTAAAAGGCTGTGATTCTGTAGAATTCACTACCCAGAGTGGATTCTGGGACATTGAGTAAATTTAAGGAGGAAGTAGATTTTAAATTGTAAGGGCTGAAAGGTTATGGAGAGTTGGCAGGAAAGTGGAGTTGAGGCTGAGATGTGAATAACCATGATTGTATCAAATGGCAGAGAAGGCTCGAGGGGCTGAACTGCCTACTCCTGCTCTTAGTTCTTATGTTATCATTTGGCCTGCTTTTTATTTCAGATTTTTATTCAATATGCATTTTGCAGTCTGCCATGATGGGATTCGAGCTCATTTCCTCAGAACATTAAGCCTGGAGTTCTGGATCACTGGTCCAATGATATTACTGCTATGCCACTGCCTCCTCTTCATCAAGTAATTGTATCATAAGGTTCAGAAGGTTCAGTTTCTGAAGAAGGTTCCTGACCCGAAACATCAACTTTCCTGCTCCTCTGATGCTGCCTGGCCTGCTGTGTTCCTCCAGCTCCACACTGTGTTATCGAAGGTTCAGAATGGTTGTCGAGAATTACATGCAACAATTCAGAGTAATCCTTTCTCTAAAGGGTTGTGAATCTGTGGAATTCACTATCCCAGAGTGCAGTGGATGCTGGGACACTGAGTAAATTTAAGGAGGAGATAGGCAGATTTTTAACTTGTATTGGGTGGAGGGGTTATGGACAGGGGTCAGGCAAGTGGATTTGGGGTTGAGATTAAATCAGCCATGATTGTATTAAATGGCGGAGCAGGCTCAAGGAGCTGAATTGCCTACTCCTGTTCCTAGTTCTTATGTTCTTAGGTAAGAAAAATCAATTTGCTGAGAGCTGACTTCAATGGGGCATGAACAAAGCTGGGCAGGATTGACTGTAACAAGAGGTTGGTTAGAAAAATAATAGCTGAACAATGGACTATCTTCAAAGAGCAAATAATTCAGGTCCAGTTGAAATATATTTCTCTAATGGAAAACGTAGGCCAAATAAATCCAGAGTTTCCTGGATGACAAAGAAGGTAGAAATTAACATTAGAAACAAAAATTGTTCTTACAGCAGGTATAAGGCAGAAAGTATGATTGAGAACCAAGACGAATACCAGAGATTGTAGGAACTGCAGATGCTGGAGAATCTGAGATAACAAAGTGTAGAGGTGGATGAACTCAGCAGGCCATGCAGCATCAGAGGAGCGGAAAAGCTGACGTTTCGGGCGTAGACCCTTCTTCAGAAATGCTGATGCAGTTTGTTTAACTTCATTGGTGGAATAAGGTGGGTTGATTAGGAAGAGTCAGCATGGATTTCTAAAGAGGAAATTGTGCTTAATTAACTCACTAGAGTTTTTTTTAAAGAAGTAACAGAAAGACTACTGGGAAACATTATTCTTGTGGTATACATGGATTTCCAGAAAGTGTTTCGTACAGTACCACACAACAGACTTGGGAGGAAAGTTATAGGTCATGGTATAAAAGGGACGTTAGCAACATGGACACAAACTTTGCTGAGAGATAAGAAACTAGTCAATGTAGTACTGTCACTAGTCAGAGTACTGGTCATTGGATATTTTTCAGATTGGAGGAAGGTTTGTAGTGGAGTTCCCCAGAGATTGGTATTGGGTCCCTTGCTTAAATATCTGCATCTTGGTGTGCAGGGGACAATTTCAAAGTTTGCAGTTGACATGAAAATTGGATGAATTGTAAACTATGAGGAGGATAGTGTGGAACTCCAAAAGGATATTGACAAGTAGGCAGATAGGTGGCAGATGAGATTCAATGCAGAGATGTGTGAGATGATGCATTTTGGTAGGAACAATATTGAAAGACAATATAAAATAAGGGGTGTAATTCTCGTGGCAAGTGTACAGACAACAATCTCTCCCTCAATGTCAACAAAAAGGTGGTCATCAACTTCAGGAAGCAGAGTGGAGGACATGCCCCTGTCTGTATCAATGGTGCTGAGGTGGAGATGGTTGAGAGCTTCAAATTCCTAGGAGTAAATATCTCCAACAAGCTGTCCCGGTCCATCCACATCAATGATATGGTCAAGAAAACAAACCAATGCCTCTACTTCCTAAGGAGTTTAAGGAAATTTGGTATGTCCACACTGACTCTTGCCAATTTTTGTAGATGCACCATAGAAAGTATCCTATCCGGCTTGGAATGGCAACTGCACTGCTCAAGACTGCAAGAAATTATAGAGAGTTGTGAATGTAGCCCAGTCCATCACGCAAACCAGTCTTCCTTCCATTTACTCCGTTGAAACTTCCCGCTGCCTTGGGAAAGTAGCCAACATAATCAATGACCCCTTCCTCCCCGGTTATACTGTCTTCCACCCTCTTCCATCGGGCAAAAGATACAGAAATTTTAAAACATGTACCATCAGATTCAAGAACAGCTTCTTCCCTGCTGTTATCAGACTTATGAACAGATCTCTCATATATTAAAGATGATCTTTCTCTGCACCTTCTCTGTAGTTGTAACACAATATTCTGCATTCTGTTCTATTACCCTGATGTACTTGTGTATGGCATGATTTGCCTGAGTAGCATGCAATACAATACTTTTCACTGTATCTTTGTATATATGATAATAATAAATCAAAGCAAGGCACAATAGATTTCAAGCAACATACTGAAGAAGCAAGGGTGTTGTGAGAAAAGAAAATCACACAGCCAGTAGTTAGGATATGGAGTTCTGAGGAAGGGTCACTGGACCCAAAACGTTAACTCTGATTTTTTCTTTACAGATGCTGCCAAACCTGCTGAGCTTTTCCAGCAACTTCTGTTTTTGCTCCTGATTTACAGCATTCGCAGTTCTTTCGGTTGTTACGGAATGTATTGCCTGGAAGTGTAGTGGAGGCAGGTTCAGTTCAGACATTTAAAAGGGCATTGGATGATAATTTGGATAGATGCAGTGTGCTAAAGTATGGTGTATAAAGCAGGATATTGGCACTAACTCATGACTTTCGCTTGAAGAAGCTGGGCAACCACAATGACTTCCTGCCCCGCCCTGAACAATCTTGTGAAAAAGGCAAGGGCGGGCTCTGGGAGGCTATAAGGCGGTTCCGGTGACCTGGTGCAGTGAGATTTTCGCAATGGCGTTGCGAGCTTGTCTGGTTGTTTTGCTGGTGTTTGTTGTGTTGACGGGGACCACGGCTCGACCTCTGCATGCTCAGTGCTCGGTGGAATGGTAGGTTCACCGTGACCGGGTGTCGGATGGAACAGTGGTGAATGGAGCCAGGTAGCAGGAAGTTGTGCAGTGATAATACTTGGCGCATCCGTGAATGAAGCGAAACTTCCCAACGCAGTGTTTCGCAGTCTCATGACTGCTTTTGACGCTCAGCCGATTCTCACATTGTTCTCGGCTCGATGGGAAACAGTACACGGTTTTAACATTGCATATCACTGTAGGGGAAGGTGGACGCGCTGGTTTGTAGATCAATGCAGATTGCACTCCTTTCGCTGTGTTTGTTCACAATAGTAACTCTACGAGTCATTTCTCAATTGTGTGAAATGTTTTCATGTGTTTTATGTCAGCCCTCGTCTTGTGTATTAATATTGACGACAAACATAATTGCTTATTTTCACCTGTAGGACATTTGGCATTCCTTGTAATAGTGTGTATCTGGAGTTAGTGACACAAATTAAAGCGTGGAAGACTGCTGATAACTGTGTTAATGGGGGAGAGAAGTGTCTGTACACCGTAAGTATTGATCGCTTACTCTTCCATTTAGTCAACGGGTCTACCCAGTTTTTAGATTTTTCTTGGAATCAATCTCGCAATTTCTTAATGGAAAAATCACACCAGCAGTTGATTTATGCAGCACCCTTGCTAAGCAGCATCCTGAGGAAATAGGATGAGCTGAAAGAGAGTGAGTTTTGAAACTTCACCATTAAAGTAGATTCACTGTAAAATGTTTTGATGCAGTTTTTGACTTCCATAATCACACTTAAAATTATATTGTCATTAATTTTAAAAAAAAAATCAGTGGCCAAGTATAGTGATCACTGCTGATCTTAATAGTTGATCCAGGAGATCTGATAACCTTTGTGGTGAGGACTATACCTCTTTAACTGTGTTGCATAATATAGCACAGTGTAGACTATCAGAAGTGAGGTGATCAAACTGTCCAAGCAGTGGATCACATTAAAACATTTTCATAGACAGCAAACCAGGAAATGGAATGCACAAATACTTATTCATCATAGAATCCTTACAGTGTGGCATCAGAACATTTGGCCCATCGAGTCCACACTGATCCTCTGAAGAGCATCCCACCTGGAACTACCCCTATCCCCGTAAACCTGCAATATTTATGGCTAATCCTCTTAGCCTGCACATCCCTGGATACTATGGGCAATTTAGCATGGTCAATCCACCTAACCTGCACATCTTTGGACTGTGGGAGGAAACTGGAGCACCTGGAGGAAACCCACACAGACACGGGGAGAATGTGCAAACTCCACACACAGTCGCCTGAGGGCTGTATTGAATCCGGGTCCCTGGCGCTGTGAGGCAGCAATGCTGAAAAGGGACATACAATTGGAAATATAATACAAGCTGATATAGTATGAAAAATCTTAAGATGTTTTAAGTTAAATAAATGTAATTTTTTAAAAAATCTGCTAATTACTTATAATCAAGACATTTAATAACACTTCACTTTTTTCAGGGCCAAATTAGTTGTTCAGCGATAGTTATCACTCACATCACCAGTTTTTAAAAGGTTGTACCTAATTGAAAAAGTTATAACTTTTTAATAGCGTTTCTTCATTTTTACTATTCATTCATGGGATGTGGGTGTTGGTGGCTGACCAGCTCGTCCTGACTTACCCTTGAGAAGGTGGTGGTGAGCTGCCATCTTGAACCACTGTGGTCCATGTGCCGTAGGTTGACACACAATGCCCTTAGGGAGGGAATTCCATGATTTTGACCCAACGGCAGTGAAGGAATGGCGATATATATCCAAGTCAGGATGCTGAGTGGCTTGGAGGGGACCTTGCATGTTGCGGTCTAATAGTGACATTAGTGAAAAAGGGGAAGTCTTGCTGCATCAATTGACTTCTGTGCTTGCTGGCTGTACAAGATATTCCCAGTGTGGACTGCAGCAAGATAAGAGTGACAAACTGTAACTTCAGGCTCTGTGCCTTAATATACCCCTGTGCAAAAGCATAAAGTAGCAGCACATTCAGAAGGGTGATGGCAGTGGGTACTGGCAGCTTGCTGTCAAAAATCATATGACCTTGAGGCAAATGTCTTGCATCTCATAATATAGAGGGATGATGAGTCTAATGGGAATCTTGGCAAACCCTTCTGAAAAAAAAAAAGTTATGCTGTAAGTATACGTACGAGTAACAAAAGTTACTTGATGACTTTTTGTTCTTCTGCAGAGTAAGGTCAAGTGACTGTCTCTGGAATTGTGTGTGGAAAATCTTTAATGTCACTTGACTTTTTTTATTTTAAAATCACTGTCAAACTGGTATTCCAAACTAAGGCTGTAGTCTTTATTGTCCAGTGGCTGCTGTATTGAATTTGTTTTTCTATGTAGTCTCTGCACAGAGCAGTCTTGAACATTCATTATCTTCATTGGGGCAATTGGGTGAGATGAAACAAAGAAGCATGAGTAGAAATTAGTTATGCATACATACTGGGTAGAAAATCGGTTAAAACTGACCAATTTTCCTTGTCTTGGCATCAGTTTTTGGGCACCACAGTAGCCTCAAACAATGCTGGAGTGAATGAAGTGGAAGCCATGAGGGTTGTCAGCATGTCTGGGCCGTCCAGGCACCAATATACCCCCATGGCCACCTAACCAAACATCAAAGGCAGATGGACTTCACTGCTGTGCTTGCTCCCCCTTCCTCGGCTGTGGATGTGGAACAATGCTGAGACGTAGTGGGAGAAAAAGCAAGAACAAAAAAGACTTTTTGGGCATGTTATTAATTATATTATTGTTTTATGTGAGCAGCCTATGGTGTATTTCCGGTCTGTTGCCTATTTTGCGTCATTTTATATGTTGTGTTAATATTTTTAGGCATAGATTTGCCTGAGCATCCAAAGAAAGACCATCCAATGTGGGAGCAGATTTGGGCCATTGGGCCCATTGAACCTACTGTGCCATTTGATCATGGCTGTATGTTTCTCAACCCCAATCTCCTGCCTTCTCCCCATAACCCCTGATGCGCTTAGTAATCAAGAACCTATCCATCTCTGTCTAAAATACACTCGATGAATTGGCCTCCACAGCCCTCTGCAGCAACGAGTTCTACAGGTTAACCAGCCTCTGGCTGAAGAAATTCCTCCTCATCTCATTTCTAAAGGATTGTCCCTTCGCTCTGAGGCTGTGCCCTCAGGTCCTAGTGTCTCCTACTGGTGGAAATATCTTCTGCATGGCCACTGTATCCAGGCCTCTCAGAATTCTGCAAGTTTCAATGAGAACTAACCCCATCCTTCTAAAACCTATCAGGTGCAGACCCAGAGTCCTCAGTCGCTCCTTGTGTGACAAGTCCTTCATCCCTGGGATCATTCTTGTAAACCTCCTCTGGACTCTGACCAGTGCCAGCACGTCCTTCCTTGGGTACAAGGCCCGAAATTGCTCACAATATTTCAATGCGTTCTGACCAGTACATATCTAGCCTTGTATTTTAGGCCTCTTAAAATGAATGCATTTGCCTTCCTAACTGCCCATTGACCCTGCATGTTAACATTGAGAGTTCAGAGGAAGGGTCACTGGACCTGAAATGTTAACTGTTTTTTTTCCTTCACAGATGCTGCCAGACCTGCTGAGCTTTTCCAGCAATTTCTGTTTTGTTAAGAGAAACCTGAATTAGTGCTCACGTGCTTTTGTGCTTCAGATTTGCAAAGCCTTTCCCCATTTAGAAAATATTCTGTGACTCTATTCTTATATCAAGGTGCATAATCTTGCATTTTCCTCACACAAGAGTTTTATTTTTGTATTTGTGAAGCTACAGGAGCAAATGTGTTCCTCCAAGCTCCACTGCAAAGTCCAGCTGGTGACTTGTCACTGCCTCTCTCTGTCCCTGGATTTATCTGATGACTGTAGACTGTTTTTATACTTCAGTTAACAAAATATTGGATGTTAATTGTGATGATAGCTTTACATTTTACCAACTATTGACAATCTTTCTTCTTTTTTTGTGGCATGTCTTGAATGACTCATGGCCCATCACCTCATTTGTGTCCTGTTCTTGGCTTTGTGGGTCTTGGCTGTTGATTAAACAAACTATACTGAACAAACATGTTGCTGTGAGTGTTTTAGCAGAGTTTTAATTTTTTAAAATAAAAATAGAATGCAGTAATTCTAAGAGTTCTGTATTTGTATATTAGCTGCCTACTGACAATAGAAAAGTGTATTTCTTTTAAAAATAAACTTTCTTTTTTGATTTTCAGTGAATTTTTGGGACTTTCAGCATGAGTTGTAGTTCCTTTTTAAGTAGCTACGCCTCACGTGAGCCTATATAGTAAATGTCAGCAGGTTATTCCTTGCAAGTCATCACAAACAATCTCTCTCCCTCTTCTATTAATGCTTTTGGAAAGCACAAACTGAGACTTGGGTCCAGAGTATCTCCTTGACCTAATAAAAAGCCAACCAGGAAATATATCATTGGAGAAGTGAAACAGTGTAGCAGTTTTGAGAAAATAAAGCTAAATAATTTTCTTGGGCTTTCTTGTCAATATGGCATGATTTGCTGTACTCCTGACAAAAAGTTATCACCTTCCTTTGTGTGTTAAATCTTATGTTTTTTGTAAGGCTCTCAGTTTTGATAAGTCTTTTGGAGGGTTTCTCTCAGATCAAGTAAGATCTCTGGCCATATCTTACTGAACCCACCTCATTAACTTTCTACCCTACCCAGTTCTAGCCCTATTTTACCTTGCACAACTCCCAGGAAACTCACCATTCAGATATATGTTGGAGTGCCCATGCCATATTTGAACACTGACCTCCTTGGTGATGCATGTTCATTCAGATGATGTCGTATAAGGGAATGATGCCACCATGCTTCCCCAAAAGGCATCTAGAGGTCCTAATGGATGGGATGGTAAAGAAGAGGGGCCTCCTCTTCCCAGGAGGGCCAGCAGAGGAGGCCATGACACCAGACCCTGGCAGCGTGATCTGAGCTTACCACCCAAGTCATTGTGGTCTCCAAGGTGCTGAAGAATGGCCAGCTGTACCATAAGACGTTCCATGACCTCCGCTCCACCGGAGTAAGTGCCTCACTCTTCTTTCTGATACCTCACATTCATTGTATCAGTCCTAACTCATCTGGGACCCCTCACCCAACATCAGAGTGGAAAAGAAGAAAAGCTGGAATAGAAAATGTCAGTAAGGTGATCTCCTCTTCTACTTCTGTCTCCAACTACGTAATTCATTTGGAACTTAGCTTCATTTTCTTGTTGCCTTGGATTGTGTTCTCTGCATTCTCTACATGTTTTGTGACTGTTAAGCACATTGAGACATTTTATTTGACATTACAGGTGTCATATAAATGCAATTTGTTGTTGTAAAGCATATTTTTTTGGAAGCTCATTTAAATGTTCCATGGGAAAAGCAAGTAAGCAGCAGGGTCTTGTACTCTGGTAGTGTCCTGAGGGGCTAGAAGGTCAAGGTTCAAGTCCCATTTGCCCCAAGGTGTGTTGTAACATATCTGAATAGTTCAATTCAAGTAACTGCTTCAAGCAGCTCTAAAGGAGGAAACAGCATGGATTGTCTTTTGTAGTTGCCTGTAAATAATAAAATATTATTTTTATTTCGTAGATACTAGTTGCTGAGGAAATATCATCAATTTGAGGTTAGATAGACCTTAGATTTAGGGCAAAAGGTCGGCACAACATCTTGGGCCGAAAGGACTGTACAGCACAGTACGGGCCCTATGTTCTATGTTCTAAGTGCTAACTGGTTTTCCACAGATGCTGTTTTTACTGGCTACTAATTTGTTAATTTTCTCTCCCTCTCATAGCTGAAGTCTGCAAATGAACATTATATAGTTGCAGAGCACACCACGCCAGTGCACAAATACGTTGATAACCTAACATTCAAACTGGCTTCCTCTTTTGACAAGAGATCCTGCTCTGTCTTTGTAAGTAATATAATTATATTTCTGTACACAACTCAATTATTGTTAGCCACTAATAGACAATGTTATTTTATACAAGATTTTTTTTTTTAAAAGTTCACATTTGATCTGTTTTGTCTGATTGTCAGTTTGGTAATGATTTGAACTGGAAGCGTTGCATTTGCTACCTCTTTGACATGTTAATAATATTATATTCATCTGGCCATGATCTTTTATGGGCCACCAATTGTCTTGTCGTCACCACTTTCTAAATTGAAAATAGAGTTTAAGCAAAGATAATTACATTTTAAAATGAGAGGGAGGTAGAAGCAAATAAATGCAAAACTTTAGTGATCAGGTTAATGTCACATACATTACTGTTCACAATTTCAATAGTTTTACAGTAATCTTTTGTTCCAAAAGAAATTGCATGAGTTGAAAAAATACAAAGCGCAAATAGATATTCTGACATATATTGCAGTTTGAGGATTAAAGTAACACTTTATTCCTATCTTTACTGGAGAGATCCTTTGCTGCTTTCCCGCTATAAGACTCTCCTTTAAAAACTAACTCTGTTCAAGCTCTTGGTCACTTGCCATATTTTCTCCTTCTATGGGGTTTTGTGTGAAGTCTATTTGACATCTTTTTAAGAACAGAAGTACTAGGAGCAGGAGTTGGATGTTCAGCTCCTCAAGCCTGCTGTGCCATTTAGTACGATCATGACTGATCTCATCTCGGCCTCCACTTTCCCACCTGTTCTCCATAACTGTTCAACCTGTTACTAACTAAAAATCTGTCTATCTCTTCTTTAAATTTATTCAATGACCTAACATCCACTACACTGTGGGGTAGTGAATCATGGCCTTTTGAGAGAAGTGATTTTCCTCATTTCTTTTTTCAATCTGTTGACGCTTATCCCAAAAAATATGACCTCTCGTTCTAGATTGCCCCACATGAGGAAACATCCTTTCTATGTGTACTTTGTCAATCCCCTTTAGTATTTTATATACCTCAATTTGATCTTGTTTCATTCTTCTAAACTCTGGGGAGTATAGGTAGGCCCAAACTGCTCAATCCCTCTTCATAAGACAAGCCCCTCATCGCTAGAATCAATTAAGTGAATATCCTCCAAGCTACCTCCAATGCAACTATATCCCTCGTCAAGGGAAGGGGATCAAAACTGTACACTTCTCCAGATGTGGTCTCACCATTGCCTTGTATAGTTGCAACAACATTTCTCTACTTTTACACTTTCTTTTCTTTAAGCAATAAGTGACAAAATTCCATTATAACTGTCCTTATTACCTGCTGCACCTGCATTTTGGTTTAAGTAAGTTAATAGATGCAGACACCCAGGTCCCATTGCATTGAGGCATTCTGAAGTTTCTATCCATTTCAACTGTTAGTTGCCTTTCTATCCTCTGACCAAAATGGATACTCTCACACTTATCCACTTTAAACCTATATACCAAGTTTTGGTCCATTCGCTTAGCCTATCCATATTTATTTGTAAATTTCTTTCTGCCTTGCAACTTTCATTTCCACCTGTTTTTAGTGTCATCTGCAAATTGAGCTATAGTACTTCAGTACGTTTTGAAGGGCCCTGTGATGTTTCACTAGATTAAAGATGCTGTACGCAATGTTCTTGACAGCTTCCCAAGAAATATTACTCTTGTTTCCATTCATTTAATTGATTTGGATTTTGGATAAAAGGAATAATATTATAATTTGTTAATATGAAGGGACACAGTGATGAATGAGGAATTAACTAGTGAAAGGTATTTTTGCTTCAGTAATTTTGACATTTCAAACTAACATCTGTATTCTGCCAACATTTTGTTTATATGATGAATATGGTTAACAAAGTGATAATGACCAGATAATCATCTTTATTCAGTGGTGTTAATTAAGTGTTGATTGGTATTAGTCAGGACACTAACGATAACTCCCTACTCTTCTTTGAAGTCATGACACAGGAACTTTTGCAATCTCCTGAACAGGCAAATGGGTTTAACATCTCATCTGAAAATGACATCTCTAACAACGTAGTGCCCCAGCAGTACTGGTATGGAGCATCAAACTTGGTCTTTGTGCTCAAGCCATGGCGTGCAACTTGAAACTAGGGCCTTGGTTCAGAGGCAAGAGTACTATCAATTGAGCTGCAGGTTGACGATAGATTAGATGCTGAATGGGTTAGTAAACTGTGCAGATGAGTGTCATTATGATCTAATCTGAAGTTGTATATTTTGAGCAAACAGTAACACAATGTATTCATAAATGGTAAGTTTCTTAACCAAAGAAGGGATCAGCAATAATCTAGAAGTACAGATGTTATTAAAGATGTAATCTATGAAGACAAGGCCATATGTTTAGATAAATTTTAAAAATTCAATAAATAAAGGGCACTGAATATAGACCTTGAATGTATTGTTGATTTGATCACAGATGCAGCATTGTTTGAATTTTGGGTAATAGCATTTTGAGTGATATTTTAGAGCTATGGAAACAGTACAACACTGGAATGACACGAGGATTCTGAGATTAGCTTTAAAAGAAAGGGACTTGAAAGTTGGACTTGCTTCTCTAAATCGGAATCCAAAAAGGGTTTCAATTTATATGGTAAACAGTGAAAGCTCTTTTAAACTAGTCTATGAATTGGTAACAAGATGACGTCTCAGAACAGTAAAAGAGGAAGCTTGAAATATTTTTGTTTTATTACAAAACAGTATGAATTAAAGAAACATACCAAAGCAAAACTTAATTAGGTAAGCATTTTAAAACAGCAAAGGCACGGGGTCATCATTTCCAATAAAGAAGGATCAGAAGCACACAGAAGAATTTCCTGTGCTTAATTTTAAAGTTCCATGAGGAAAAGTTTTCTTTTATAAATGCTGGGTTTACTGAAAAATAGATTTTGATGGTGGATTCATAGGTCTCTAGAGAATGAGGCTAGGGAAATAATAATAGGGAACCAGGAAGTGGCAGAGCAGTTGAATAAATGTGTTACATCAGTCTTCACAGTAGAAGACACTAATGGTCTGAAAAGCTAAATAATCAATGGACTGTATAAAAGGGGGGAAATAAATATAGAAACTATCACTAAATAAAAAGTACAAGGGAAACTTTGGGGCAAAAGTCTGATGTGTCACCTTGATGTGATAGATTACATCCTAGGAATTTAAAGGAAGTTGCAACAGAAATAGTGGATGCATTGTAGTAATCTTCCAACAATACTTGTATTCTGGAAAAGCCCCAGAGGACTGGTAGAGTGCTAATGTAACCCTCTGTTCGATAAAGGGAAGGAGACAAAAATAGGGTAACTATAAATTTAACCATCTGTCATTGGGAAAACGTTAAGCCTATTCTAAGGGATGTAAGAACGGAGCATTTAGAAATACATAGTATAATCAAGGGGAAAACATGCCTGACAAATTTTTTAGAATTGTTTTGAGGTGTCAACAGGCTGGATGGATAAAGGAGAACCCGTAGATTTAATATATTTGGATTTCCAAACTGTGTTCCATAAAGTACAGCGCATGATACTACTTAATATGATGAGCATCATAGTTTTGTGGTTAGTATACTTATATAGAGAAGAGGATTAGCTAACTAATGGAATGTAGAGATTCAGCATAGAGAGCCTTTTTCAGGATGATAATCTGAAACTATTGGAGTGCTACAGGAATCAGTGCTGGGACATAATTATTTACAATATATATGAATGATTTTGAATGAGTGTAAAATGCCCATGTTTGCGGATGACATAAAATAGATGGAAAAGCATGTGATGAAGTTGACATAGGGAACTACAGAAGGATAGAGACAGGTTAAATGAATGAACAAAATCTTAGCAGATCAATTGTAATGTGGGAAAATGTGAGGTTATGCACTTCTGTTCTTCCTGTCAAAGTGCTGAATATCATGTAAATGGAAAGATACAACAGAAAGCTGATGCACAGAGGGAGTTGGGGGTCCTTGTGCTTAATCTTCAAAAAAACTATATCCACGTTCTGCAAGTAATAGGGAAGGCAAATGGACTGTTAGCCTTTCTTTCAAGGGAAGTGGAATATAATAATAGGGAAGTCTTGCAAAAAGAAGACAAGGCTGGAATAATGTGAACTGTTTTGGGCCCCAAATCTAAGGAGTGATATTCTGACATTAGAGGCAGTCCAAAGAAGGTTCACTGTGTTGACCTGGAGTATGGAGAGACTTTCTTGAGGAGATGTAGCATAGAATGGCCTTGTACTCTTTGGAGCTGAGAAGAATGAGAGAAGACCTTATAAAATCCTTAGGCTTGACAGTGTAGATGTGGAGAGGCTGTTACCCCTTGTGGGAGAGTCTAGGATCAGTGGGCATAATCTCAGAGTAAGGGGTCACACATTTAAGACAGAGATGGGGAGGAATTTCTCTTGTGAGGTTAGTGAATGTGTGAAATTCTTTACTGAAGAGTGCTTTCAAGGTTGGACTGTTAAGTGTATTCAAGGCTGAGAGAGATTTTTAATCAGTAAGGAATCAAGGGTTGTGGGAAAAGGCAGGAAAGAGTTGAGGATTATCAGATCACCATGATCTCATTGAATGCAACAGACTTGATGGGCCAAATGACCCATTTGTGCTCCTGCATCTTGTGACATACACTCTGTTTTAAAAGAAGCAGCAGCATTGCTAATACAAACCAACAAAAACCTAAGTTGGGCTTCCATTTCTTTCAGATGTAAAAGAACCATGTGGTGGAGCATTGACTTGAGTCAGGAAGTTCTCCAGGTTTGCCCACGGTTTCTGTTGACTTAATGGAGGATTTGTTGTTTGGCCTGCAGAGGAACTAAGTCAGCCGTGCCTCCTGTTTGTAACACAGCCTGAAAATTCATTTTATGAAGATTGGGCTCCACTGAGGTGCCATTGTCTGTGTAGACCTGTAAGGTCGGCTCCTGGAATCTGCCTTCTCACCATCCAACTATCCATTTCTTGGTTGGGGGTTCTATGATTTTATTTACTTTGGCATAAAATCTAGTATTGGCTTTTTATTTCAACCGTAAATTGTTATTTTGGGGTCACTTAAAGATCTATAAATTGCCTGTTTTTCTTCATTGATACATAGTTCTTTTGTAAGTTGCAACACAAGTAGACAGCGTGGATAAGAACACATTTAGCATGCTTGCCTTCATTGCTCAGACCATTGAGTATAGGAGTTGGATGTCATGTTGAGCTTGTACAGGACGTTAGTGAGGCCACTTTGGAGTACTGTGTACAGTTCTGGTCTCCCTCTTTAAGAAGGATATTATTGAATTGGAGAAGATTCAGAAAAGATTTACCTAATGTTGCCAGGATTGGAAGGTTTGTGTAAGAGGACAGTCTGGGTAGGCTGAGACATTTTGCATTGGAATGTAGGAGGTTGAGGGGTGACCTTGGAGGTTCATAAAATCATGAGGAGCATGGATAAGGTGAATAGCAAAGGTCTTTTCCCCAAGGTGGGGGGAGCTCAAAACTAGGGGGCATATTTTTAAGGTGAGGAGAGAGACTTAAAAGACACTGAGGGGCAACGTTTCCTCACAAAGGGTGGTTCATATATGGATGAAGTGGTGGATGCAGGTTTACTTGCAACATTTAAAAGACATTTGGATAAGTACATGAATAGGAGGTTGAGAAGATTATGGGTCAAATGCAGGCAAGTGGGACCAGTTTAGTTTGAGAAACTTGGTCAATATTGACGAGTTGGACCAAAGGGTCTGTTTCCATGCTGCACCACTCTGATGAGACTCGCCAGAAATTACATCCGCAGAGCTTGAATCAACTTCTATATTTCACCAAATGCTATCTATTGATGAACGTGCAGTTTCAGAGCTTCTGTGCCGTCAGACTGCTTGTCTAACAGAGATAACAAGGTGTAGAGCTGGAT